CAATGAACAGCAGACTGGGAGAAGAAATAGAGAATCACGACCAACCCAGACAGTCCTCATCAGCACCATCGGGGGGAGGGGGGGGTATCTCCATCAGAGGTACACCTATTGCCATATGAAACCCGAACAAGATCTTGGGATGTGAGATAGACAGATTACTCCGCTCCACCTCTCACATCTCTGAAAAGGTGAACTTAGCAAAGCCCGCCTCAGCAAACTATGTAGGTTTAATCAGGCCCCTTCCCACATCAAGAAACACTTGTATAAGATGATGATAAGACCTATGTTTGAATATCATTTGTGTACCCATGTCACTAACAACGAAATCCAACATGCTATAGCTACAAAGAGTCCAGAATAGAGCACTCCGCTTTATCACAGGCAACAGGAGGAGAGACAGAATCAGGATGGAAGATCTACACATCCAACAGGAGACAGATGCAATAAATAACAGGCTTGATAAACTAAAGAAGGGATACCTATACGACATGCAAGACCTCTATATACCAGACAGAGAAAACCCTCCCCAACCAACAAACCACCGACTACATCATCAACACACCTCCCCACAGAACCCAAAGAATGACCCTCCAACAAAGAGTGTGACGCTTCATTTACAAGGATAATTTCCAGGGAAGTACAGTGCCTGCACTCTGAAGGAGGGGTGTTAATGTTGCAGTTTAAAAACTGTAGTGTAAAGCACCCTTCTGGCAAGACAGTGATGGAGTGAATGATGGTGAAAGTTTTTCTTTTTCGGGCCACCCTGCCTTGGTGGGAATCGGCCAGTGTGATAATAAAAAAAAAAAATAATAATAATTTCCAGAGACCAACGATCCTGAGTGACCTGCCAGAAGATATAGAAATATGGGTACCACCAGAACCTTTATGTGTCTAATAAGGATAAAATCACCCCAATTTATAGACTTCATCATTAACTAATTAACACTTACATCTACTTACAACCTATAACTTACTTCTACTTACATCTGCTTACAACTTATAACTTACGACCTACTACGACAGGACACCACCTCTGAAGCAGCTGAGTCAACCAGTATCTCCAGGAAGCAATCGACCTACATCAAACGCCTTGCTACTGTCATTTCCGGCATACGCCCTGCAATCGCAAAAAAGGCAATTGCAAAAAGTATACCCCTTACCAACTCAGCGCCATGCAGTTGTACATCTGTATAACTGTGTGAAACTGATGGGTAGAGTGTTATATTACATTCAGTGTAATTGATTTCAGTAATAACACTACACACAAATACTTGTATTAAAATGCCCCAAAGTGGTTAGACCACTTACCTTTACTACCCCACCTCCACTACCCCCACCCACCCTTTTCCCATATTTCCATCCTTACCCACCCTTCTTTCCCATCTTACCAAAGCTCTGGTCATAATTTGCATTGACCATTTTTGTGGTGATCTGGATTATATCAGCAGATGGTGGCGAATTCGGGAATGTAAAATTGGGGATGTTGTTTAGCCTGAAGAGTTCATTGATGGTGGTGTTGAACGTTCCTGGTTTAGCAATATTGCACATACGGGCATACATCATACAGTAAAATATCTTGGTTGGTTCACAGTCAAGGATTACAGTGGTGGTGGAGGGTTGAGAAGTTTAGTGGTATCTGCCTGTAATTTAGCGATGGCAGCCCCTCAAGGAAGGTTCCTTGATGTTGGTGAGGGGCTCTTGATTTAGGGAATTGGATCTGTGCTCCAGTTCCCCGAATTAAGCCTGAATGCCTTCCACATCCCCCCCCCAGGCGCTGTATAATCCTCCGGGTTTAGCGCTTCCCCCTTGATTATAATAATAATAATAATAGCGATGGCAGCTTAAGTGGGTGATCTGGAAGAGGACTTCTTTTTTGCTGCTTCTTGACTTTTCTTCAGTATTTCATGTCGTGTAGGACATTTTTCAGCAAGAGTGTGGTGGTTGCTCTTGCAATTGAGGCAAGTTGGTGGAGCGGTACTGGAGCAGGTTTTGAAATCGTGGCCCTCACAACCACAGGTCGTGGACAACGTTTTGTCCTTAATAACCTTAATCGGGCAGACCGCAAAATATGTGGGTGTGAGCACGTGATTTTCTGCACATGTCATCCTACTCGTGCCACGCATCTAGATTCCCGTTCTTTATTTCTGACCAATCACAAGCCTTCCCTGAGTCGCTTCAGCTAAGTGGTGCTGTCCTGTTCTCGCTTCCCATTGGTTGAGAGACCAAGATGTAAACACTTCTGGCTTGGCGTGTCGCCGAGAGTAACATTTTTTTCATCTAGTGAGACTCAAATACCCTTGGATTTTATCCATTGCAATGTCGGTAAGTACTCATTGTTATGTCTAGTGCATAAATGAATAGTTTGGGCATATTTTGATATATATATAAAGGCCGTGTGAACCATAATATGAGTGTACCATGCAAATGAAAATAGTGCAACAAAAGAGACCTCAAAAAATTTTGTTGTCCCCTTTTAGGGCCAGTTTTCAATTTCAGTAAATAAATATTTATAAAAAATATTTCTATTGCTTATATGAATTTTGTAGCGGTCTGGATGTGTACAGAACGTTTTTATTGTCCTTCCAGATCAATGAGAAATTGTTTTATGGTGAGCCCTCCAACACCAAGTCAAAATGTCTGTGTTTTGGAGGAAAGTGACTCAGAACTGGAGGTAGATGACCCAGAATTGCTTGAAAGTGGTGATGAATACTTGCCACTGGATGATGAGGAAGAAACGCCAGCCAAAAAGTGAAAAATAGTCAAGAAAAAGAAAGATATTAGGATCGAGGAGATGCCTGTTGAACAAGAACAATTATACCACATCGTCATTTTTTGCTTCGTATGCAAAGTAAATCTATGCATAAAGAAGGATAAAAATTGCTTCATACCCTTCCATTCTGGCAATTAGTAATATACAATGACTGTCCTTTCTCAGGGAATTCAGGAATATGGGACTTGAAAATTTTATCCCTTTGCAATGTGTCTATGTAGCAATTTGGTTTCTTTTTATATTTTTCTAATACCTAAAAAAAGTTTGGATACAAGTTCCATTTATGTTTTTCATATTATCTGTTTGTATAATAAATTAGAAAAATAGTTATTTGCTGTTTTATTAACCTTTGCAAGTTTGCAACATCCAAATTTATACTCCCTTAAATGGGCAGCCCATAATAAATTAGGGTTTCCCTGACTAGCAATTGCTTGAAAACTAACCATCAGAATTCCATTTATATGGGCTCATTGACCTTATATTGAGTTACTCTATCCACTATAGGGAGTTCAGTTCGAATTTCTAAATTTATGGCCATTTGCCCCATGAAGGGTTAGTGGGGCAGTCTTTAGTGTTGTGCATCTAAGAATAGCAACTCTGTCTGTGTGGGAAATAGTGGTACCTTTCTGCTTCAATGTAGCTGAGGATGATGAAGTAATAAAATATGGCCATACCTTCAGCTAGAGCCTGGGCAGCTATGTTCACATCAGTAAATGTGACTTTAAGCATGGATGAAGCAGTATTAATTTTTGTAATGCGCTCCACTGTAGCCCAGGAATTCTGGTCTTCAATGACGTCTTGAGGTCATCAGTGGCCCTTAAAATTTCGGTCAGCGAGAGTGGTGGTGGCAGAGGTAGTGAGTAGCTTTTCAGCCTCAAAATCATCGTTACACACGACAATAAAGGCGTCCTGGAGCGTCAGAATAGTGCTAAACTTCACTTGAAATTCGCCCCTAAAGGCAGCTGCCAGTGCAAGTTTTGAGGAGTCGTTCACAGTTCCATTGCAAGGTTTAATCTTTACACGATTAGAGTAGCTCATCGTGAAGATCAAAGACGATGACGACGAAGGTTTAGTCGTCGAAAAGATGGGTTGGTGGATGATTCATAATCAACTGAGATTCTGCAGACGCGTGTAAATGAGAACGAAATGAATGGCCCTAAAGACTGTTATAATTACCATAGGTCTTAGTGGATAGGTATGCATGATAGACACCAAGTGACATGTCTAAGAGTGCGGATTAACATCGATGTAAAAGGTAAGAGACAGTCAAACAATAATGTGGACGAAATTAGGTACAGCATGGCGGGTGAGGCAAAGAAGATGATACAAGACTCGAGGAATCACAAATGCTAGTGAGAGAATAAAGTTGTGAGCTAACAGATGCTGAAGAGGGGAAACTTTAGACAACGTTTCGCTCAGTCGTGGCCCAATATCAAGTCGGCAGTATATGAATTAGTTTTGAATTGTTCCAGCCACTGTGTTGTGGGTTATCTGTGAATTGTTCCAGCCACTCTGTTGTTGGGTAGCTGTGAATTGTTCCACCCACTGTATTGTAGGTTAGCTATAAATTGTTCCAGCCACTGTATTGTAGGTTATCTATGAATTATTCCAGCCACTGTATTGTGGGTTAGCTGTGAATTATTTCAGCCATTGATTTGTAGGTTAGGTGTGAATTGTTCCAGTCTCTGTAATATGGTGTAAATTGTTCCTGCCAGTGTATTGTGGGTTAGCCGTAAACGCTGTGAATTGTTTTAACCACGGTATTGTGGGTTAGCTCTGTTCCACCCACGGTATTGTGACTTATATTCTTCAAATCTGAGTAACATATACAAAGTGAGGATGAGAAACAACAGGAATAATGTCCCCATGATTTAGCTCGTCATTGTTAAAGCTTGTTAGCTGCGATAAGATCAATAAGACTGTAATGCAACACTACTCTAATATAAAGAATGCGGAAATATTTAAGATATGAATTAAAGTTTTTCTGACAGTGGGATAGGCACCTCTTGCAATGGAAAAAATATAAGGCAAGCATAGGAAATACAGCAATAAAAGGCAGTAGATAGAGGAGATACGATAATAGAAGACAGTAGGTGGATGAGATATGATAATAAAATACAGTAGATGGAGGGTATGCAGTAATCAAAGAGAGTGGACGAACAAAGTGAACAGAGTGAAAGAGGCGAGGCAGCATGAGTGATCTCTCACTTTGTCTTCTTTGTGTCCTCAGTTAGCAAGGATGACGGAGGAGGAGGATGGCTTCGACCACCTGCTGACGAAGCTAGGATTCGGGCCATGGCAAGGAATCACCCTCGTCACCACGTTTCTAGGTAAGTGACCTTCCCTCCCCCCCTCTTATATAACACCAGTCACAGTCACAATTCCGTGACTGGAACAATACACAGATAACATAGGAGAGAGGAGGTTATGACGACGTTTCGGTTCGACAGGAACCATTTACAGGTCACACTCGTAAATGGTCCAAGTCGGATCGAAACGTCGTCATGAGCCGCTCTTTCTCCTATGTGCTGGTTATTTGTGTAAAGTCATATACCAACAGAGACGACAGCTAGAATAAAGTCTTCGCTCACATATGTTTCACTATATTTATTTTTATTACGCTATTTATTCACCCTCAGCTTCAGTTTAAATGACCTGGAAGCGGCGCCATTTAACAGATAATTAACATCGGATAAAAAGAAAAAGTAAACTATAGAAAACAAGAATGGAAGAATAGAAGAAATAGTAAAGCGAACAGGAAGAGAAAAAAATGAATAATAAAGAAAATAAGAGAACATGGGAGAAGCATAACGTGAGTGAGGTTGTGCAGGCAAGGGTGACGCGCCTCGCTGATTTAACGAAATACCACTTGAAGTATTCTTTACACAGCTCATCATACACTCTGACTTACATCACAGCCACGCCTCCATCTCTGGATTGCATCACTGAGTCTCTGGAAAAGAAAGCTGGTTGGTCTGGGGTCCTTGGTTGGGGCTGCGAGTTTTTGTTCTTTCTTGATGCATTGTTGAGCAACTTTTGGGCTGTTTTCTTCACAATGAAGCTGTTCCAATAGGACTGTTTGTTGTCTTTAGGAGGAATAGGTCTGCTTGAGGAAATTTCATGGCTGTCTCACTGGCATAATACCTTGATGAACTTTGGGCTGTGAATTCCTACAGAAACGTTCAAGTCACTAAAAACCTACACTTTAGAGAACCTTATGAGGACGTTTCGGCTCATCCATGACCATCGTCAATTGTTTCAGTTACGCAATGTTGATTTTTTTTTTATTCATCAGAGGCTGTCGAACATTCTGGGACTATCTTATTAGTTCACTGGATGCAGGACACCAAGATAAAAATGCCAGAAATGTTCTCTGTGAGCCACTATCTTTTCCGAAAGTCTAAATGAAGGTGTTGCTTGGTTCCACTGGTGATCTTCCAGCGACAGATTTTGTGCTTTCCTAAATAATAATTTCAAGAGTTCATTATATTCACTCAGTTTTTGGGTTGTCAAAGCACTGAAATTAGAATATTGTGAGGGATAACAAAAGACAGTCAGAGGGCAGAGAATGAGTTTTTGATGTGGTTTGGTTGTTTAGAAAGGATGGAGCAAAACATTCCGACAAAGAGCGTGTATAAATTTGGGGTGATAGGAAGGAGGGATATGGTTTTAAGTTATGATCTGAGCATCCAGCAGGCATGTGTGCATTCATGATAGGATTCAGAGAAACCGGTTAGCCTTCACTGGTTAGGTTAAGTAAAGTTTGCCAGGAAACATGAGAAGTCTTTCCTGATGCGGGTCTTTTTCATATGATGACTCGCAATTGGAGCTATTGGTCATCTGACCGAGGCCTTCCGCTGGCTTATCGGTCCACCCCTTTAAAAATTATAGTATGTTGTTATTTTCTGGGGCTACTACATTTTGCAGGTCATTCAAATTGTGATGTCCGCGCACTTACAGAATGATGATTTTTTTTTTTTGAGTCGCGCTACCTTAATGGAAGACCTTTCAGATTTTTCTAGCCAAGTAAGATTCATCCAGATAATTGTACTGTAAACACAAATAAGTTACAAATAACTTAGCGAACACTGATTGTATGAGTGTGGCGTCTGTAAATACTGTATACTGCACTCTATCGAGTAGGTCCTCATTGTAATAAGTTATATTGCTACAGAATGATTTATAAAATTTACTTAACTTGTGCATTGGCATTATAACCTCTCTCTCTCTCTCTCTCTCTCTCTCTCTCTCTCTCTCTCTCTCTCTCTCTCTCTCTCTCTCTCTCTCTCTCTCTCTCTCTCTCTCTCTCTCTCTCTCTCTCTGTGTGTGTGTGTGTGTTCTGCCATGTGTTTTGTACTATGACGTTCCTGTCCTTTGTATTCTGGGAGTCTCACGTTGATCCCTGGCACGCTGTGTCATTTATTTAACAATCTGGTGAGTCATTTGCCTCACGACCTGGGATGTACAGGGATTATCATGAGTCTTGAAATTTAAGTTTCCTTTGTACTCCTTAAAAATACGAAATGAACCGTTCTCAATCTTGCAAGGCGTGATATCACCTCAACCTTCAGTCTGAGTGATATAGCTGTAACCTTCAGTCTACTTGATATCGCTCCAACCTTCAATCATACTATCATAGTCCTCCCGCCAAATTGCCACTGATCATTGCATAATACGATGAGAGTATGCGGGATATATATCCTTGAAGATCAGTGGTAAGATTTACCTGACGCATTCAACACCCTCTGTTAGTGACCTTTCCCTCCTGGGTGATCTAAGGATAGTTGCTAACAACCTCTCGCTTCAGTGGTTTTGAGCCAACGATGACTG